CCCCAAAACCCCAAAACCCCAAAACCCCAAAACCCCAAAACCCCAAAACCCCAAAACCCCAAATTTACAAGAAAAATTGAATATTTTTTAAGCAAATTTAGGTGCAAAAGGTAACAGCAACTTTCTAGTGAGGGCTTGGGTGAACAACGCTTGGTCTTTAGGCCTGACAATAGTGCAAAAATGATACTTACTTAAGACAAATGTGCTTTTAAATGAATCTAAGGTGTTTAGATAATCTCTATATGATAACGTCTCACCAGGATTTTCAGTCCTTTGAAGCATGAAGCAAATTCAACCAGATCTCTCTTAGCACTTAAAGGTTTTCTTATAAAGCTTCCATGGTTAGTCATAGCTGGCAGTCCCTTTCTGGTTAGAGGAGTCTTATTAACCTCTTTAGGAATGGAGTGCCCAAACTGAAAGTGTATCTACGACAATGATAAAATTGTCCCAAGAATTATAACAGACTGTGGCCACACTATGTGAGAAATATGTATAAATGAGTACTGAATTCGAGGACTTGTGTTTTGATCAGTGTGAAAATAGAGCTTTTCCTCCAAAATGGATTGACTTTTACCCTATAAATATCGCAATCAGGCCTATCAAGTGCGAAACAAGCCTCATATCACTGGAGTTGATGAGATTCGAGGATAAAAATCCAACTCCTCACAAATATAATTATCTCTACAGAAGTGGTAAGTTCTAACTGTTAAAAATCTAAATCAACGATAGGCCAGACTCCTCGAGAAGAAAATAAAGATGAGGAAGCCAAAACATCTGGTCTTGACATTGACCTCGGAGAGTTGGATAAAGAGAGCGAATGAGAAATGAATGAGACACTGAGTCTTCATAAGCACATCTTTGATAAAGATTTAAGCATCGATGATAAAACTTCATTCAATTTTACAAAAAATCTGGACCAAGAACTGCTAGAAATTCTCGACGACTCAAAACTTAATTCTGATAGGAGCCATAAGCCTTGTAAGTTCTTCCATAATCTTTCCAGCTGAACAAGAGATTCAGCAGAAAGCAGGTGAGATCCTTTCAAAGATCAAAGAATCTGTGCAGGAAAGCTCTAAGATCGAACAAGAGTTGAGACTAAAAATAAGCAGGATTGAAAGTTACTCCAGAGATATTCAAAAGAACTATTCTAAAAATACCTCAAGAATCACTAAATTATACGATGATATAATTTTAGCTCTATTTAAACAGAAAGACTTCTTCCTAGCGAAGATGAAACAGATATATCAAAAGGAATCTACTAGATGAGAGGAGGCTCATCTGCAAGCTACTATACAAACTGAAGATATTAGCAGCCTGAAGGGGATACTATTCCAAAGCATTAAGCAAGAAGATGAAGTACTTTATAATCATCATGAGAAATACGATGATCTTATTGAAAGATGACTTCAGAAAACGAAAGAGTTCAAAATAGACAATCCTTTTGATGGAATGTAAGCATCAAAATCTGATCTATAGGGTCCCAAAAGACATTGCTACAAAGAGCAACATAGAGAAATTTAGGTTTTTAGTTGATCCTCAGAATCCTTCGAAACAAACAACAAGAGGTATCCAGGCGAATAATGAGAAAATGTCCCTAAGGGTTTCAGGCAAATGAAAGCCAAGCATGACCAAAAGAAATTTCGAAGCGAATCTCAAAAGGAATGGTTCTCGCCAGTCAAGTAAAGTTACTGAAAAGAACAATCCATTAGTAAGAATCCTCTATAACTCTATAGCCAAAGAAGATGGTTAAAAGTCCTTCAAAGCCTAATTTCACAGGAGGGAATACTCTCCGTGAATTCGGTAACTCGAATGAGAAGCCTTCTTTAAAATAAGAAGCCGCGTAAGAGCTCTAATATTTCCCAAATGAATCTGCCAAATCGAGTCAAGATTCCTAAAAAGAATAAATTCAGCGTAACAAAGTTGATAATTTTTTTAGAAACCAGTTGAAGCTAGGAAGGAAGTCCCTCCGAAGGGTACAGATAGTGATAACTCTTCCATATGTGAAACCATAAAAATGAGGGCTCTAGATGACTTGGAGAAGGAGTCAATGGTCTCCTGTGCAGATTCTACAGCCATTGTCAGCGCAGGAGGGATCACCTCAAAAGTAAGGTTATGCATTTAATGAGTAGATCGATATACCCTTTTTGAAAAGTATGACTCAGAGAGAAAAGAGAGGTAAGGAAGAGTGCTGATGATGTTTAGAGCCATTTTAAAACGATTATTTGATCAAAATGATGACAAAACAAATAGGTTAACTAAGTTCTAAAATTACTATTGCTGTTTTAGCGAGCCTCATCATGCTTTAAATCTCTAAATTCTTTGCTCATCCTCATTCGAGAGTACGAAGGTTAATTAGATATTAAGGCTACAAAAAAGGCTTAGTTAATAAGTCAACTTGTTCAGTAAATTAGCATTAATTTGGGGTTTTGGGGTTTTGGGGTTTTGGGG